TTATCCTTCTGTATTCTTCTGTCATATTCTGGCCTGTTTTGCTCAGTTATCTCCCTGAGGTAGGTTCTGGTTGAACAGTATGGAGATCACCTCCTTGAAGAGTTCTCTTTTTGTGTCTCCAATGTATCTGCCCATTTCTATATCTGTTGCCTAGGAGACATCTTCAGTAGTTCCTCTGTTGTCATGATTATTGAGACCTTCACTACTAAGTGACCGAAGTTCTATGGTTCGAGTGCATTACCTAGGAAATGTGTTTACTGAGCCCTTGCCTAGCTATACATGTTACAATACAGAACTCATCTAGGTTTTCACCAGAAATGATGAGACTAGTGTCATCAGCAAATATTATGGGTATTGATGGGGTGTTTAGTGTAGGAAGGAGGTTATTTATGTAGATAAGGAAAATCTATGGGGGAATCCAAACTTTATTGTTCCCAAGCTTGAGTAGGTACTTTGGGTTAAATTTGATGATTTTATTTCGGTGTTTTGTTTTCTGTTAGGTAGGATCTGTACCAACTTGCTGTTGCTTCTTGAATGCCAAAAAAAAAAATGCAATTTAGTTAATCAAATTTCGTGATTAATGAAGTCAAAAGCTTTTGTTTAATCACAGAATATTCCACCAACATGTGTTTTTTTTTTATTAAGAGATTTTAATACACTCTTAACTTAGAATGATGCATTTTCAGTGGATATTCCTTTCCTGAAGCCAAATTGTTCTGGGACTAGTAGTATATTATTAATCTGCAAATAATGGCTTAACCTATAGTGCATAACTTTCTTAACACTTTAGAGAAAGTTGTTAATAGTGTAATTTGTCCTGTAGTTTGACATACTAGTTTTGCCCCCCCCCTTTTTTTTTGTACTGTGGTCTTACTACTGAAAACTTAAGACCATCAGGGAAGATCCCTCTGAATAGTGTTTACAAATGTGGGTTGATGCGCGACTGATTAGAGATGCACAAACTTTTAAAATTTTACCTCTTATTCGATCATAACTTGATGAGATTTTTGCTTCGATGGAATGTATTATACGTTTCATCTCAGTTTCAGTAGTTGGAATGGTTGTAATACCAAGGAATTTTCTAGTAAATGCTCTTTTAAAATTAAATTGCATCATCTCTCACTCCCTGATGCAAGTTTAGATTTTCAGTAATTATCAGAAAAAAAAGTATTAAAGGCATCAGAATTTCCTTCTTCATTGTTTATAATATGAGATGGTATCTGTTCAGTCAGATGTAATTTTCCTGTTTTATGTTCTATAATATTTCAAGTTGTTTTTATTTGATTTTGCTATAAGCCTACAGTAATGCTGCCTTTTAGCCACTTTTATAATTCTCCTCAGGATTTTGCAGTACTTAATGTAATATGCTCTCATGTGTGGATTATTAGGGCTCCTGCTATATATTGTAACGTGTCTGGAATCCAGAAGTCACTTCTATGGAAACGCTAGAACAGACCATTGCATAAGAAGTAACAATAGCGATACTGTAATTCCAACAGTGAGCTGTTGTATCGAGAACACCGAATCTCCACGGTAACGACAAACAAAGCAACGTCTCCATGGTTATAACAGAAGGTTCATTTGCCTAGCAGCGGCGAGGGTATAAATAGGCCAGCTTC